GACATAGATGAGAGTCTGAATGGAGAAAGACTAGTCAAAAAAGAGCATTCCTTTCACAAACAGAAGAAACCCATAATTTCTGCAATCGAGGCCAACAGTCTCCTCCGTTCCATAAGAAAGATGTTAAAAGTCCTCCACTTGGGCCAGAAACTGTAACCCACCACCAGTAATGAGAAACCCAAATATTTTAGGTGAAGAGCTTATTGTCTTCAAAACATCCTATTTAAATGCAGGTAGTCTCTTTTAAAGGGGTTTATTCTCTGAGCAGAGAAAGACAGGATTATGGTCTAATACCCCAAGAAGATGTCTCACTTTTGAAATGTAGGAGTCCCTGACTTTTGCATAAAACAAGTCAAACGTTTAACAACTGGACCCAAAAGTGGTCACAGCACACTTATTATTCACAAGATAAGTGCATACTGATTTTAAAAAAGAAAAGCATTAGACAGATAATTTGGGGCTATCTTGCACACAAATGTAATTGCCTTTAAAGATGTAAACCTGTACCACTTTTTCTCCAGTGCCTTAAGTAAAAAAAAAAAACAAAAAAAAACAACTACTGACAGGTAAGGGGCTCTCAGCAGATCAAGTCCTAGTCTTGAAGTTTTCTTAGTCATGGAGTTGTCTGTGGAGTTTTACACTAAACAGGTTGCCTGATTTTTAAGTATAAATAAGGTTCTTTTCACTTTTCAACTGAAAATAGGTATACCTTTCTGACATAAATATTGATACTCAGGGAGAAGGCATTTTGATGCTGTGTGTGGGTGGGTGTGTAAAAAAAGAAAAGACAAATCAGAAACAAGTGTGGTGCAGGTTGTTTAAAATAACTTGGCTTATTATGTCAGAAATAGCAGAAGAGACATCGTTAGTGAGCTGTTGATATTTTCAGGTAATTTGTTTTCAATTGTTGAGCTTGTAAGGTATGCTTAACAATGTGATGTCTATAAAGAAAGCTATCCCACTTTTATTTTATAAATTGATCGTTTTAAACTGGGATATGTTAACAAGAGGTATTTAGAAATGGCTCCTCAAAATCACCTTTTTTATGTTAAACCTGAAACCTTCTGTTTATTTCAATTAATTTTTGTGTGATTACATTATAGAGATTAGAGCATAGTTTTCAACAAAGAGTTTTAAATATTAATTAAAAATAAACCATGAAAATTTAACTCGGAACCAGTAGTAACAAAAATATTTAAATTAATTACTCCATCTTTTTTTAAATTGCAGCTGCAAATTTCTTGGGCTTTGCACATCTAGAAATTGCCTTTTTTGTTTCACTCATCTTTGGACAACAGATTGATTCAAAAAAGAATATGTTTATACATTGGTATATATTATCACTTTTTAATCATCGCTGGTTTTGTTCTGTTATCAATCATATGAAAAATACTGAAGTTCATGGTTGTGTTAAATGGTTGACACAACCATTTTGCTTCAGTTTTGGACATATTAAGGAGCCAGAGTTTTATGTTCTGTCTAACAGCGTGGACTAATTTTGATTTATATATTTCCTAAATTCCCAAAAGCAGTTCTGAATTTAATTATGAACTTTAAATTCTTAATGTAATCAATCTGTTATGTCTGTAAAAAACACATTTTAATAACATTTTAAAATGTTATAAAAAGCTTACCTTTCTATTGTTGATGAACTTTTATTTTTAGGTTTTACAGACAGCCAGATCCTTTGTACAAATTGTCCATTTTGACTAGTTGGAGAAACAAGATATGGAACAGAATACAGAACCCTGAAACTAAAAGCACCTGTGTTATAGTCAAAATATATCTGCAAAAATGTGCGCTTCTATTGCATCTGCCAGCCTTTTCTGAGGAGGCGGCAGCAGACAGAAGCGGGGAGCATTTATCCTACCCTGTAAAGGTCTAAGACAATCAGGCATGGATTATTCTGCAGTAGCGTAAAAAGAAAAATATTTATATCTATAGATATAAACAAATCTTGATTTGCTCCCATTTCTGCAACTATTTCTGTTGGTGTTCATACTATCTCAGATTCTGTTTCCTTCTGTTTCTTTTTTGCCTTTTGTGTGGGAGAATGTGGGTGTGTGTGTGTTCATGTTCATGTCAGCAGCTCAAGGCTGAATTTTTTCTCTGTGCTGTGGAATAAATCATAAAGTACTATTTTATTTCTAGATTCCCATAGTACAACACTCACACAACCATAAATAACTGCATATTGCTAGAAACAAGAATGGGCAGACTGAGCTCAGACTGAGCCCTCCTCAAAGAGCGAGTGCATGGAAAAAGGATTTTTTAAATTTGACTTAGAATATAAGCCATTTACTAGGATATGTCTTAGTAAGTAAATTGAATCTGAGACCTAAATTTAAAGAAATTGTTTGTTATTAAAAAATATAACAACCCAAAGATAAATTTTTCATGCAAATTATAAAACACACAACAGTCACAAAACTCTTTAACAATGTCTGATGGGAGCTTTAACCTGCAGAAGTTAGCTGTGCTGCTGAAATTGGAAACAGAAAATATGAGGTTTGTTTTATCTAATTTCCGTTTTCCAAAGTTGCAAAATTACATAGACACTGTTTTATATACATTGGTCTCAAGGCTACTCGGGGGATTGCTTAGAGTGCATTAGTGAGCAAACATCATCATGAAGACCAATCAAATGATCAAATGTAATATTTACTCTATTAGAAATAAAAAGATGTTTTTATGCTTAAAAAAAAAAGAAAGCTGCAACCTTTAAAAAGAAGGTTGCAATTAACAGCTTTTCATCTCACTCTGTGCTGGAGTAATTTCAATCAGATTCATTATCTGAATCGAAATTTTCATAATTTTAAATAGTAAAGATTTTAAAATTTTGGTTTATTAATTAATTAATGAGTGCATCAATTTGAAGCAGGTAGATAAATGAGTGGAAGTGGATTTATTTTATTACTTAGAGATAGGAAAGTCCTTGTCATTTAGCAGTTAGCTTAAAGGTAGATTAGATTAGATTAGATTAGATGAGCTTTATTGATCTTACAGCGGAGAAATTCACTCGTCACATATTGGCGAGTGAGTATAGAATAGTATAGTGTAGTGTAGTGCAGTGTAGTCTAGTCTAGTCTAGTCTAGTCTAGTATAGTATAGTATAGTATAGTATAGTATAGTATAGTATAGTATAGTATAGTAGAGTAGAGTAGAGTAGAGTAGAGTAGAGTAGAGTAGAGTAGAGTAGAGTAGAGTAGAGTAGAGTATTTCTGTGAATTTTTGAAAAGACCCGCCCTTTCCCCTTGCACAGGCACCCTGGCTATTAAACGCGTATGAGAGCATGCACGAGCCCAATTCTCCTCATGCATGCTCTGTTTAGAAGATGCTGTTTGCATCGCTCATACAAGAAGATTTGCAATTCTTCCACTATGTCAGACTCACCACCGGTAATTGAAAATGGGGACGACCATGTAGGACGGCCTTATGTAAACATATCACCAGAATGATTGACAATTAGGGGGACCACTTATTAAGCCTTAGACTTAGACAGATTTATTTGTCATTTTGTTTACTGCACATAAGTGTAAAACAAAAAGAAATTTCATTTAGAAACAGTTTCTAAACAGACAATTTAATTTTTTTTTTAAGTGCAGCCTTGAAAATAGTAAAAAAATATATAAAAACAGTACATGTAATATAAACATGTTAATATAAATTTACACTTCTATCATTTTTAGGTTTTTTTATATATAAAGATAAAATATAATAAATATAATAAAATACAATACAATAACCCATTCTAGAAAACATTCAGCAGTCTAATGGCAGTGGGGCCATTAGATTGCTGATGGACTGTTCTCCCTGCTGCCCTCTGAGTAGCAGGGAGAACAGTCCATTGTGGGGGTGTGAGGGGGTCATTTATGATGTTACCAGCTCGGGACATGCAGCGCTGGCATGTGATGTCTTTTATGCAGGGAGAGGAGCCCCGATAATCTTCTCTGCTGTTCTCAGCACTCTCCTCACTTTCTTTCAGTCTGAGGCGCTGCAGCCTCCACCCGACACAGTGAGACAGCTGGTCAGAACACTCTCTTTGGTGCTTCTGTAGAAGGTGGAATTTAGATTATCCACCAGTTAAGCTAGAGTTAAAATAAAAAGATAATTTATGAGGCATTAACATCCAGTAATCGACCAACATCACTGACCAATAATCAACATAATCCTTTTCAGTGGTCATTTGAGGCAGCTGTAGTCTTCTGCTGAAATACCAGCTTCAGTTCACTCATTACATTAAATAAAAACTGTTACTTAGAGCGGAGCTCTCAAGTCTTTCTTGCACAAGTATATGTTCAGTTTGAAATTTTAATTATGCAACTTAAGACCATTTTGGTATTTAGATGAGCAAAACACTTGCAAATGTGATTACAAACCCAGATGCACAGAGCTCTGACTGCTGTTTTCACATTTTTATTTGGAAACAATTTGAAAACAATCATTGATCCTCCTCTTCAAATATTGGATGTTATGTTGGTCCATCAAGAATATATTGATATTTACATTAAAATTTCTTAGTTTTTTTAATGAGATAATTAGTGTTATAAATCATTATGCAGCATATGCATTAAGTCACATAAGACAAATATAAAACAAATGATGTTTCTTTATTCTAAATAATCGTTTCTATAATAAGAAACCATAAGGATTTTTAAAGTGTGTGTTTCTTATACTTCCACAACAATGAAGCTCCACTGGCTCTCTGGTGTCGTCTGATACCAGACTTTTCTGCCTCTTAAAAAGTAACAAGCGAGTGAAACCAGATTCCTGATAAGGTTAGGGTGCTCGAGTAAAGTGCAAGATTTCTGCTGTATGCCTTGTTGTGGTATTTTGTAGACACCACACACAGAACACACGTGCACAAATTCAAGAAGGATCCTCCTACAGCCTCATCCACCCTTGATTTTTTTTTCACACACCAACGGCATTCACTGCAGCGCGAAAACATCAAAACGCTTCACAGTTCTCTTATTCTTTGACCTTTGAAGAAAAAGAAGAGGAAAAGAAAAAACTTTTTACATCAGAGTGTAGCGTGGATTCTGAGGGCCTAAATACATGTGAATTTAGTGAGATAAGACACACATCAGGACTTTTTTTTTAAACATACTGAAAGACAACAGTCTGAAAGGATGGTGGCAGAAGTACTGATAATCCTGATGATAAAGATGGCAGAAGCTTACATGCCTGGCTCTGAAACCAACGTGAAACATGGATATGGAGCTGGTTCCCCAGAACTGATGCAAAGCTCATGCAAGTCGCTGGGAATTGGAGTCAGAGTGATTTCTTCCAACTTTTCCAGCAACACCTCGTGCCTGTGAGTAAATATAAACGCACTTGCAGGAACAGACATGGAAGTAGATGAGATTTGGAGATTGTGAGTAGCTGTTTTCTCATTTGGCTAAGATTTAATATGCATTAATTCTTTAACGGCCTTGTTAACCTCCAACGTGCATTTTGTCGAGCAAACAGTCAGCATTTGGTTGATCAGGCAGTTAAAGAGTTAGCAGGTTTTCCTCTTGAAAACAGAGAATTTTACTAAAGCATTTTAAATAAAACTGCCTTTATCTCCAGTTTGCCTTTTTATTTATGTTTGTCTTGCAATAAGTTTTAGAAAACTGACTTCTTTTTTAAACTCTTAGTTCTTAAAGCAACCCAAAATATAGTAAATATAATAATACTGATTTTACAAAAGTAAAACAAGCTATTCTTAAATTTTGTATTTATTTTCTGAATAACCAAAACAGTTGCTAAAAATTGACATCTTAAAACTATAGCATGCATTTGTATCCAGCTCTCCTTTAAAGTATTTCACTGCAATTACAGCTACAGATTTTTTGGATATATTTCTATAAAGGCTGAATATCTTACCAATTCTTCGTTGCAAAATAACTAAAAATCAGTCATTCTTCATAATTAACGTTTATAAGCATTAAGTTTTTCAACTAGTAACATAAATTCCGAGTTAAACTATAACTCCACTGATCCTCTTATTACTCCTGAGTTTTTTCCCTGTTCCTGGTAAAGAAGCCTACAGTATTATGCTGCCATCAGAATATTACATGGTATGTGGAATGTTTGTTTATCATTAGTTTTTCATCCAACAAGGAATTTTATATGTTGGTCTAATCTGACCAGAAAACCTTCTTCCACCTGTTTGCTGTGCTGTGGTCATGACTGACAAATTAAAAATGTAGCTTCTTATGGCTTACTTATGGATTCCCTATGCCTCTCTTCAATAAAGGCCAGATTTGGAGACTGCAAGTCGAATTGTTGTCCTGTCAACCGATTTCCCCCCTGATATGTGGATTTCTGCAGCTCCTTCAGGGTTTAATTGATGCTTCTGCCTTTAAGTTCTATTTGCTAACAAAAGTTTTAGGCTTTAAAAATTTTTTTTATTTTAACAATGAGTTACATTCATTGATGGGTGGTGGTAAGTATTTTCTATTTATTTTTATTTTATTTTTTTTATGATTGCGCTGGAATTTTTGAAATGATTGAAATGTTTCCTGTGTAGAATATACCTCCTCTTTTGCCTGTAGACTGCTGGAGATAGGCAAAAGTCCCCCTGTGACCCTAAAGGACAATTTGTAGATTCAAATGGAGTGAATCTAACTGCCTGCCACAATTTTCTGGTTTTACATGGTAAAATTATATTCTTTACTTTCTGTTGGTCCATCAAACAAAAATCTTTCGAAACACATTATAGATGATGGTTATAAAGCAACAAAATTATGCATGTAGTTTTTCAAAATGTATTTGACTATTTGGAAAGCATGCCATAAGGATACATCATGTCAAAAGCTCCATTTGTTTTACACTTGTTTATGAATAAAGAATCCTATTGCTGCAGGAACAAGTAAAGACTTCTCCAGAGACTTTGTGTGAAACAAAAATAACTATCTTCACATTCCTCTTACCATAAAATATTTTTTTAAAACAATGCAATATTAGACAATCTTGTCTTGTGCATGTGCATATTCCTATGCAATGCTCAAACCTTTTCATTTGGCTAAGTCTTGTCCTCATGGTCTTAAAGATGGTTTAATTGAGAATTAAAAACAACACAACTCTGATCTGCCCCAGCTTCTTGTGCAGATTACAGCATTCATTGGAACTCTCTTGTACACAAACACATTGAAACTTAAAACCATAGTTGCACTGTGTTTGCTGCTTGATTACGCACATATTAGTTTCTAGTTTTTCTCACTGCATTTGTTTGTAGAATGCAACATTGTATGTTTTTTCTGTCATTTTTCGCAACAACCCTGGATGCGAGGTACAAGAGTGAGGAGGAGGTCTGAAATTTATCTGCTTCCTTGCACCTGTTTAAAATGCAGTGAAATGCATTTCAAACATGCATGCCAAAATACTAAGAACAGTGACATTTAGTGCATGGGGCAAGAATTGCCTATGAGGAGTTTTATTAGTAATTATTTTTGATATTTCATTAAAAGATAAATTACTTTATTTATCCAAGAATTTCTAGTATCTTTAAAAAACTCATAGTGTAAACAGACTAGAAGATATAAAGTTTTTCTTTTGGTCTCAGCTCTTCCTTTACTATGACGGAACAAATAAGTTAATCGATATTTATCAGTTTTAAATTCATCCATCTGTGCTACAAACTGTCATCAGAAAACCAACAAACTGAAACTCCTCTGCTTAGGGATGCCAAGTAGAGGGAACAATCCGCCATTTTCACATTCTGCCAATGGTTTCAATGGGGTTTATAGCTTTAAGGTACCTGAAACACGGCATCATCTGCAAAAAAGAAAATATATCACTTAAATGTTCCCAAATGAGACACGCTCTAAGATACTGTCTGCCAGCCGCAACAGGTGTCCAACGACCACCTGGTACAATTTTTACTTTGTGCCAAGAAAACAAAATCATGTCTTTCTTTTGACTAATCTTGATATTGATTAAAAGTTACCGACGTACTCCTACTGCAACATGACTAAAGTCACTCTTAGGGTTAGAGTTATGACCCCCTCAGAACTTGAAATAAACTAAACTTAAACTAAACTTGAAATAGTTACCGGTATCCTTAAATAGCTAAAACTGGGGTTGCCACAATTCCCTTAAAGTATAAAACGGCCCTTTACGTGACAGTTAAACATTGCATCATGTATTGAAGTACAATCTCCTTAGCTTCGTATCAGCTGCTGTCACAGGTGCTGGGAGACGGACTCCCCTTACCTACATTACTCTCTGTCACCCATGTTTACATCCAATACTCCACCATTTCTTTAGAAGAAAATGTTTTCACAAGTACAGACGTGAATGAAAATAAGCAAAGCCTTGGCTGAAAAGTCTGAAGGAGGATGAGAATGAGGAATATTATAAATTCTGTTGGGCTCACACGAAGCTGATTGCTAATGCCATTTGGTAGATTATACTGTAGACATGAATAACTGTGCAAAAGCCTTTTGATAGGGCGCTTTATTATTATTTATTCATTGCCTGCTATATCACTTTAAATGCAGCAATGTTTTACCTTGAATTGTCCATGAAATATTTGGAGCTTTATTTGGATACATTTTTTTTCTTGAATACCTCTTTATCAGTCGAGGGACTCAGGTCATGGATGTCCCTTATTTTTATCTATGAAATATGGCAACCCTAGTTAAAATCCAACCTTCTTTTCCCTTTCCTGAGAGTAGGGATTACCAACAACTTGTGCTTGATCCAACATCTTTATTTCCAATGTAAAACACCTTATGAGCCAAGAACAGCCTCTGCTTAGGTTATTGTTAGCTTACCAATGTACCCATGAGAATAGGGTGTGTAACTTTACATACTGTAAATCATGGATTTCAATCATGGATTTTGGAGGCTGAATCTTAGAAGAGTTGTTTCAATGTTCCACAGCCAAGATTAAATCCACACTGCTCCCTCTGACACTGAGGTTTGTCAGTCAGCTGTACTCTTCTCTCCAGCATCATGGCATAGGCCTTCCCGGGGAGACTGAGATGTTTGTAGGGTTAGGGTTCAGGTAGGGTTTCCCTTACAGTTGCAACACTCCCTGCTTCCCCCTTTTTTATATAGGGAAACCACCACCCCAGTCTTCAAGTACAGGGGTAATGTTTAAGAGTTGTTTAGGACACGAAAGCCTGACAACATCCAGAGATCTAAGGTACTAAGGACAGATCTCGTCAAACCCCCAAATCCTTGCCACCGTGTCGATTTGGGACCCCTCGCTGACATCGGCCTGGGTGATGAACGAATCTGGCTCAAGCCTCCTTGATACTCAAAATATTCCTTCCACTGTCCATAAATGTCCTAGGACAATATTTGAGGGACAGAAGCAGCATCTGTATGAATACATTGTTCACAAGGCACCCCTTCTCCCTCCAGAGACATTGGATGGTTTTCTAGAATTGTTTTGAGGCCAACCTATAGTTCCTCGACATGGCCTCCCCAAACTCCTCACGGGCATGAGATTTTGCCTCTATGAACACCTGGCCAGCAGCATCTTTCACACAGTACTGGCTTGCTGCCTCAAAAGACCCACAAACAAGCAAGGCTCAACAGGACTCCTTCAACAGGACTCCTTCATCAGCTTGACAGCATCCCCTGCTGCCGGTGTCCACATACAGGTTTGGGGATAGTGGCCACGACAGGCAGAGCAGACCTTAGGGCCACAGCAACAGGCTACTATATCGATAATGGAGGCAGTTATTCTCCATGTAACCATCCTCCCCTGGAATCTGGAAAAGGCTCTCCTAGAGGTGGGAGTTGAACATGTCCCTAATCAAGGGTTTCACCAGATGTTTCCAGAAGATCCTCAGTAATCACTTGGCCCTGCTGAGTGTGTCCAGCCTCTTACTCTTTCAGCAAATCCAGCTCACCAGTAGGTGGTGGTCGGTGGACAGCTCAACCCCTCTCTTCACCGGAGTGTCCAAGACACATGGCCAAAGGTCAGAAGATGCGATTATGAGGTCAATTAACAACCTCTGGCCCAGGGTGTCCTGGTGTCAGGTAGACAGTAGTCCAACAATAAAACATTGTTTGGGTTCAGAGATGATGTTGTATTCCTCCTGATCATGCTCATCCAGGTATCACTGTCTCTTCCTACAAGGGCATTGAAGTCTACCAGCAGAATCCAATCCATGCATCTCGCAGCAACTTTCTTAGGATTTTATATATTTTTTTGTGAGTGATTTACTTAGAAACAAGCTGTTATAGGTGCTCATGACCTGGCTATTTCATATCCCTGTTTATTGATATGGCAGCCATATTGGATTTCAAAGTTGGTGAGAAACTACAGACTTTGTTTTCAGAACACTGCTGAGGCAATTAAAGGAAAGAGTTTCTTGAATCCATTCAACAGAATACACCATTCTTTTAAACAAAAACCCTTCAGTCTTATGTTTGACCAGTGTAGAAAGGTAAAGTTGAAAATCTTTTTTTTTGACAGATCTGGTTGAGCTCAAGTTGATTAAAAACATATCTTTAATCCTTACATCTCAAGGTAAAGGCAAGCTTAAAATAAAAGTCATCTAATGGGTTTGTATGAAATGAAACCTCAATACTGCACATAATCCCACACATAAACATCCTGCTTCTGGCACATGCGCTTTCACAGCATAAGGACATGCTTTCTGTCAAAAGTCGCAATTATTCCCCAGAGAGGACTGAAGTCAAATCCCAGTCTCTGTGTGTTTTTTCATCTGTTCTGCTTCGTGCAAAGGTCAAGGCTCACAAGAGTTAGGATATTCGAAGGTATGCAGCCATTGATGGTCATTTCAGTATGGACGGCCAGATAAAAATTGCTTTGCTTCTTTCACACTAATCAGTAGTGCAAAGCTGTCTTCTGCCCAATATTAGTGATTCTAGTTAGTGTTGATTTTGGCATAATTTATTGTTTAATCTCAATTACTACACAGAGAAGCACACAGTAAAACCAACTCTAACTACAAATGTTTAATCTGATTTGTCTAAAATATTTTGTTAATTGCAAAACCACATTTAAAAAAGAAATAAAAATATAGGAATTTGAGATCATGTGAAAAAGGATGCAATACAATAAATACAATAAAACCCTATATTTTATATTCTAAGTGAGAGGGTGTTGGCTTCCCTCCAAATACAGCAAATTTTTCTCCTCATGCAAGGAATTGGATCCAAAGCCAGCTGCATATGAAGAAACTTGTTTCATTAAGCTCACTCAATGAAACTTGTTTAAAGACGGGGCCATTTATTTGATTGTGACTGTCTTGATTGTTAACAACCATATAACTTATAAACAGATTTTCCTGGAATTGTTGTATCTTTTATTACAGTTTGGTAAACAATGTAGATTTATGCATTTGTGTTTTAGCGCTGTATTCTTTGAGCTGCTTTAATTTTGGTCATAAAAAATTTTTTGATAAGAATTTAAATTCCAGAGGGTCCTCTCTGGCTAAATAATAAAACATTACATGTATTTATTTACAACTGCAAAAATCACAACAATTATTTACCCAAATATTTACTGTTGTAGGGAAGTAAGGATGACGCAGATCAGAGAGATTCAGCAGCGTGATTTCACCAACCTTCAGCACCTCAGAAAGCTGTAAGTGTGTTTGTTCCTCATTATTTTTATTTGATGCTATTTATAATTACCTTAAGTGAGGCGGACCAAATACCTGGAGAGTCGAAGCCAAGAAGATTATGCTTTTTTTTGTATTTGATGAAACAGATAAATCTTAAGGATTATAAATAAACTGAAGCAATTTTCTTAATTAAAATGATTCAAACAGGCATGTTAATGCCCAGGCCTAAAATCGTTCCCAGTCCGAGCCTAGGCAGGAACATCAGGTTTGACAGTTCAGTCTGTGCCCAAAGAACGAGGGGGATTTCAGCCGGTCATTTGATAAAGCACAGCGGACACTGAGAGAGAGTGCCAGATGCAGAAGCCTAGAAGGCTGCAGAGCTGTCAGGAGATCAGATCCGAGAAGTTGAGAGGCAGATCTAAGTTCAGTCCACAGAAGAATCAAACAGGAGTCTGAAGACAGGTCAGGTAAACCGATCAGACAGGGGCAGGAAGGCTCAAAGGTCCGAATACAGAAATGGATCAGGATCAGGCAATCAGAACACCATTAAAACGCCAGAGAACTCTCAACACCAAAGGCTCAAGAATAATCTGGCATGCATGGCATGGAAACATGCAGCATAAATAGGTGCTGGAACAGGTGGATCAGATGAGCAGTGATGAGAAACAGGGCAGAGCTAGACAGGTGAATGAAATGAGCAATCATGCCAGCCGTCAGCACCAAAATCATGACATCTCATTAAATCAGAACATCTTTAAAACGCTTATATAATTTTTTGTCAAAATTAAATTTGCTAAACAGTGATGTATTTTTCAGTGTTTGTTTGTGTTAATCTAGCACTTTTACTGAAAATCAGAGTATAACATAACTAAAAGAAAAGCAAAAACAAATCAGTGGGGAAATTCCCATCTTCCAAAAGCAAAATGAAATGAGAGCATGTAGATAAATACATACACAAACTACACAAAAATAGACAACTACACAGTAAGAGTAAATTTGTAACAAGAAAAAGCCTATCTTCCTTTGGACGTAAGATCGGTGGACTATCTTTGGTCTTTCTGTTTGCTTTTCTTTGCACTCTCTTCATTAAAATCTCTAAAGATTTGCTTACTTTATTACATACTTAAACCCTGGACAGGTAGGAAGTCCATCACCAGAGAGCTGACAACTGTGCCACAGTGCATTCCACCTTTTGTGTCAATAACTTTTGGATTATGTTTTAAACACAGCAATTTACCTATAAGGACTCCCTTATGTTTACAGAATCAGATGGATACACCATGCTCCCATTGAGAAAAAAAATAATAATTTTGGACTGTTTTTTCAGCAGCGTCATTTTGAGAGTATCATTGTGTCCTGATTCATTCATATTTTTATTTCCTTTCTGTCCATCCATTTTTTTATTTTAGTTACATCATACAGAACAACATCCTGCAGTGCATTGATTCTTATGCCTTTGCCGGTCTGTCTGGGCTCTCTGATGTGTGAGTATACAGATTTGCTTGCAAACCTATTTTCTCCAAAACACTGATTTGTCTAGTGTCTGTACTGCTGGGACAAAAATAGCTATAAAAAAATGACTAGATTCCTCATGAGAGCAAATGTCCAAATCATGAAGAGAAAATATGTTTAACAACTGCAAATGAATCCCTGAGACATTTTTTTCATGTTTTTTTTTTTTTTCTTTTCAGGTACATATCCGAAAATCTTGCTTTAGAAACAATAGGAGCTTTTGTTTTCTCTAATCTCCCAGAGCTCACTGAAATGTAAGTATATCTGACAGACACTATTGGTATATTAGATTTTTTTTAAGTGTGCAACTAATAAAACCCTACTTTCAGAGCGATAACTAAGTCTAAACACCTGAGATCCATCCATCCAGATGCTTTTAGAAACATGGTGAACCTTCAACATCTGTAAGTGCTTGCATATTTTTTTTTCTCTTTGATGCTTTTTTAAAACTGATTGTGAGTTCAAAGTAGGTCATAGATGATGGGTCAACAACTCTGGACCAAAACAACCAGATACATGATTATGTCACAGTCTTGGTTTTGTTATGTTTATTTAGAGTATTCAGTCTTACTTTTCTCCTTGTTTTAGTGTCTAATTATTATTATTTTGTTGTTTTCTTGTTAGTTCCTGTCCTCCAGATTTTCCATTTGTTGTCCTCTGCTGCCCTCTTGTGTCCTCTATTCCTAGCTCTGTTTTCTGCTCTGTCCCCCCTTGCTGTTTTCTCTTTTCTGCCAGCACCTGTTGCCAATTTCCTCGTCAGCTCTCTCTTTCTCTCTGTTCCCTTTAAAAGCCCTCCTTCTTCAGTTCTTGTTTGCTGGATCCTCGTCTTACTTCTCATTAAACCTCTGGTCAGTTCTCTGTCGTTCCTTCCTTGTCTCTTACTGGTTCTTAGTTTTTGCTTTTTCCCTGATGACTCTTAGATTCTAGTTCTTAGGATATTTTTGTTGGATTTTTGACTCCTGCCTCAGAGCCTGTTTACCTATTAAATCACTTTATTCATCTCAACCTACTCATCTCTGCTTTTGGGTCCTCTAACCAACACCACCAAATCGTGACAGAAGGATCCAGCCAACAGCATGGACCCAGCAGACCCAAATAAAATAAGAGATTTTCTTTCTCTGCTCATCTCTACATTGGACAGCCTACCTCTGATCAGCCCACCTTGGAAGCGGGTGAGTGCAGCAAGGCAGGTAAAGGAGAAACTGGAAAAATTCCCTGACTTCCGTGACTTTTTTCTCCAAACTGGTTACATTGCTGTAGCTGAGTGGAATATACAGGATGCTTTTGCTCAGCTACACAATAAACCTTTACCACCCAAACCACCACTCCGAGACATAACTCAGCTTCCACCAACCTCCGAATCCGAGCCTCCATCTGCTGCAGCTGCTGGTTCGCCTCTGCCTTCTGCCTCTTCCAGGCGTAGGAACCGCCGCCGGGGCAAGAAGGCCTTTCCATCTCCAGTGGGTCAGCTTACCCCTCCATTCTCTCTGTTGTTCAGCCAGCAGCAGGTCTCAGTCCTCTTCCTCACCAGGTCAGTCAATTCCGTCCCAGTAAGCACCTGTTAGATCAGCAGATTGTTCCCTCGGTCAGAAAACTCAAACTCACGCCACTTATCAAAACCCCTGCAGCTAGAGCTCTCTGTCAGTCAGATCCCAGATCAGAACCAGATTCTTTTCCTGTTTCTCTAGCCTCTGAGTCTGCCAGCATTCCGTTTTCTCCAGCTCACGTTAGCCATCCAGCTTCGGGACCCGGAAGTGATCTGTTTCCGTTAGCCTCAGAACCAGTTAGCTTACCAGTTCCTTTAGCTTTAGAGTCCGTCAGTCACCCTGTTTCTCCAGTTTCTGTTAACACTTCTCTTCCTTTAGTTCCAGAGCCCGGTAGCGTTTTTGTTCCACTAGCTTCAGAACCCGCCATCATTCACGCATCTCCTGTTTTTCAGCCCATTAGCATTCCAGAATCATTAGCGTCAGAACCCGGAAGTAATTCTGTATCTCCAGTTAGCTTTGCTGCTTCTCTAGCCATAAAACCCCAGACAGTCAGAGCTCCCCACATTCAGGAGTCTGATCTCTGGAATTTCTATTATGGGGATAGAGATGATCTTTTCCCATTTATGCCACCTCGTATCTCTCCTCCCCAGCGGGAATCAGTCAGTAAACCAGTTAGCTTAGCGTCCGAACCCGTTAGCAGACCTGTTAGCCTTGAGTCAGAACCAGTTAGTGAACCTGCAAACCTAGCTTCTGATCACTTTAGTATATCTTTCCCCTTAGTTTTAGAGCCAGTTACCTCGCCTGATTTTCTAGCCTCAGAACCAGTTCACATACCAACCAGTTTAGCGTATGAATCCATTTCCAAACCAGTTAGCGTAGAACCAGAACCCATTAGCCCAGTTTCTAAGACCCCCCGATGTAAGAGACGGCGTCGCCGTAAGCACGCTCTGAGCCTTCTAGAGACCCCTGAGTTAGCTCTGTGCCGTCCAGAGACCCCTGAGCCTGCTCTGTGCCGTCCAGAGACCCCTGAGCCTGCTCTGTGCCGTCCAGAGACCCCTGAGCCTGCTCTGTGCCGTCCAGGGACCCCTGAGCCTGCTCTGTGCCGTCCAGAGACCCCTGAGCCTGCTCTGTGCCGTCCAGAGACCCCTGAGCCTGCTATGTGCCATCCAGAGACCCCTGAGCCTGCTCTGTGCCGTCCAGAGACCCCTGAGCCTGCTCTGCATACTTTTCGAAAGGCTTCAGAGATCGGGGTTAATGAAGATACGCCTCAGCGGGTGCCCCAAACCGCCAAGAGCCCTCTGCGGGCACTTCAAGCCACCTCAGAGACTGAACCTGTGCCGCCATGGGCAGTTTCCTCCATGCTGGATGTGGAGCCCCAGTCGGTGGTCTCCTCCATTCCTGATGTGGAGCCACAGTCGGTGGTCTCTTCCGTTCCTGATGTGGAGCCACAGTCGGTGGTCTCTTCCGTTCCTGATGTGGAGCCACAGTCGGTGGTCTCTTCCGTTCCTGATGTGGAGCCACAGTCGGTGGTCTCTTCCGTTCCTGATGTGGAGCCACAGTCGGTGGTCTCTTCCGTTCCTGATGTGGAGCCACAGTCGGTGGTCTCCTCCGTTCCTGGTGTGGAGCCACAGTCGGTGGTCTCCTCCGTTCCTGAGGGTAAGCCGCAACCGGCGGGCTCCCCTGTTCCTGAGGTGGAGCCGCAATCGGCGGGCTCCCCTGTTCCTGAGGTGGAGCCGCAATCGGCGGGCTCCCCTGTTCCTGAGGTGGAGCCGCAACTGGCGGGCTCCCCTGTTCCTGAGGTGGAGCCGCAACCGGCGGGCTCCCCTGTTCCTGAGGTGGAGCCGCAATCGGCGGGCTCCCCTGTTCCTGAGGTGGAGCCGCAATCGGCGGGCTCCCCTGTTCCTGAGGTGGAGCCGCAACCGGCGGGCTCCCCTGTTCCTGTCCCGGGGCCGCAATCGGCGGGCCCCTCTGTTCCTGTCCAGGGGCCGCAATCGGCGGGCCCCTCTGTTCCTGTCCAGGGGCCGCAATCGGCGGGCCCCTCTGTTCCTGTCCAGGGGCCGCAGTCGGCGGCCACCTCAGAGGCTGTTCCTGAGCCGCAGTCGGCGGCCACCTCAGAGGCTGTTCCTGAGCCGCAGTCGGCGACCCCCCCTGCTCCAGAGCCGCGGTCCACGGTCCCCTCGGACCCTGTTCCAGAGCCGCGGTCCACGGTCCCCTCGGACCCCGTTCCAGAGCTGCAGCTGACGGCCTCCTCGGACCCTGTTCCAGAGCCGCGGTCCCCTCGGACCCTGTTCCAGAGCCGCGGTCCCCTCGGACCCTGTTCCAGAGCCGCGGTCCCCTCAGAGACTGTTGCTGAGCTGTTCAAACGGAGACGTCGTCCTCCTCCGAGGTTCCTGCTGCAACGGAGACGTCGTCCTCCAATGGTCCCCCTTCGTTGCCTGACCAACGGCCGGCCACCTGAACGTCTGCCGTGCCCCCGGCCCAGCGGCCAGTCACCAAGGACTCTGCCTCGCCTCCGGCCCCGCGGCCGGCCTCCAGAGCGTCTGCCTCGCCTCCGGCCCCGCGGCCGGCCTCCAGAGCGTCTTCCTCGCCTCCGGCCCCGCGGCCGGCCTCCAGAGCGTCTTCCTCTCCTTCGGCCCCGGGGCCGGCCTCTGTCCCCCCTTGCTGTTTTCTCTTTTCTGCCAGCACCTGTTGCCAATTTCCTCGTCAGCTCTCTCTTTGTCTCTGTTCCCTTTAAAAGCCCTCCTTCTTCAGTTCTTGTTTGTTGGATCCTCGTCTTACTTCTCATCAAACCTCTGGTCAGTTCTCTGTCGTTCCTTCCTTGTCTCTTCCTGGTTCTTAGTTTTTGCTTTTTCCCTGATGACTCTTAGATTCTAGTTCTTAGGATATTTTTGTTGGATTTTTGACTCCTGTCTTGTGAGGTATTTTGTTGGATTTTTGACTCCTGCCTCAGAGCCTGTTTACCTATTAAATCACTTTATTCATCTCAACCTACTCATCTCTGCTTTTGGGTCCTCTAACCAACACCACCAAATCGTGACAGATTATTTAAATAGCCTAGATCCCCTGATGGCCAATGATGTGTCAAACATGCTGCCACAATTAGGCTACGTTCACACTGCAGCCTGAAGTGACCCAATTCCGATTTTTTTGCCCATATGTGTCCTGTATCTGATCTTTTTATGACATTCTGAACGACACAGATCGGATTTTTTCAAATGCGACCCAGGCCACTTGGATATGTGGTCCTGAATCCGATACGTATCTGATCTTTTCAAATGCGACCTGTGTCTGTACGGCCAGGTCGCATTCATCCGACCTACACGTCACTGATACTTGACAAATGTTACAAATGTTACTAATCTGCGTCCTACTAAGCGGAGGCGGGAAAAACTAACAACCATGGCGGAAGATAACACAGAGAGCAGTCAATGGAGAGAAAGTGAGGTTGCTGACTTAATTCATATTTGGAAAGATAGCTCGATTCAGACCAAACTCGAAGGGTCTTACCGGAACCGGGGGAGGGTCTTTCTTTTTGATCTTCTTAAAAAGATTTCGTTCGTAACGTGCCTGCTCCTGTTGGAGAAGAACTTAAAGAACGCAATATACGCTGCGGTATTACGAGTCATGTTTACTTCCGCAAACACTGAGGACGCTTGCTACATGTGACGTCATCGCGTCCTCGAGTGCGCATGCGGGACACTTCGGTTGAACGCTTTCAGTTCACACAGTAGATCACATACAAGTCGCATATACTTGGAAGTGTGAACGGACACGCAAAAAAATCCGATTTCACAAAAAAAATCGGAATTGAGCATTAAGGCCTGCAGTGTGAACGTAGCCTAATAGTATTTCATTTAATTTTATTTATATATATATATAAATATATATCTTTTCAAAGAAGCCCCAAGTAGCCTTTTATGAGATTCAGTGCATTGCTATAGTCTCTTGGGACTACTATGCTCTGTACTGTTTCACTTGACCCATTTTGAGAAAACTGGGACACAAAAACTCTGTTTTGTGTGTTAGCAAAAATATATTTTAAACAGTTTGTTAACAAAAAAGAGGAACCTTAGCACAACAACAAGACATAAATCAGTGACAGTAAGATATTCTTAATTTGATTGTGTTTTTATTGTTGAAAGTACAGTAAAAAAAAAAAAAAGTTAAAATCTATGTCTAAGTACAAATGCAAAGGTTGCTTGGTGCTTGAATTTATCCTTTATTTATCTTCAATTTTAAGGCAGTCTGAGTTATAAGAATTAGCAAAATGAGTTACAAGATTATATTGCAAATAAATGTGAAAAGGGACATTTTCTAGTGTATATTTATACACTAGAAAATGTCCCTTTTCACGTTGCATCAATGATTTTAAGGAGATACAGTTACCAGCATATAATGTTGTCAAGACATTACATATCTTAAGCATTTTAATGGAATGTTAAGGTGGTAGAGCAAAAAAAGGAGTGCATAATTATCAAGTGGACAGAAAATGTGCTTTGATCTAACAATTTTATTGTAGGTCTGGTTGTATGTTTAGGCTTGTTATCCTGTTGGAAGGGGGAACTTCTTCCCATCAACTCTGACCAGCCTCCCCATGCTCTGGCCATTACATTGCTGGCACCATAATTGTTATTGTGAGGAAGGTGTGTTCACAGTGATTCTCAGGGTTCATTTTTCACCACAAAGGGAGTTTTAAGAGGAAGCCAAAAAATTTAATTTATTTATGTGATCCAAGCACCTTCTTTCATGTTTTTGGGACCTTAAATCGCTTGTGGGAAATGGTGCATGTTACTTATCAAGCATTTCTTTAAAGGAAAAAAAAATGCTTTCTCTTCCATAAAGGACAGATTTGAGACTAATAATTGGCCTGTCAACAGGTTTTTCTACAGTAGTTGAGCCCCCTGGCAGCTTCTATCATTTTTCTTTGCAAACTAGATTCAAAAATTACAAGTAGTCAAGCTAGTCACTTGAAAAAAATAAATAAATACAAGAAAAAATTATAAATAAATGTTTTCCTCTCAATAAAAAGGATTCATTACAAAGCTCCATCTGCTATTTTGGCCACAAAGCAACTTAGCCATAGTTCTTACCTCAACCAAGTGTCTGTTTCACGAAGCAGGTTTACTGAATACTCTAAGTTCTCTAAACCTGAAATATGGGAAACTCTGAGTTTAGTAAACCTCTATTTCAGTCACCGTAGTAACATTCTCCCCAGAGCTAACCTGGTCAGGAGCAGGTTTTGTTCAGTAAACTCAGTGTCCTCTTTCTCTGCTCTCATTACAGCCATTCACGTTGTTTTATTTCCTGATTTAGTCCAATTGTGATTGCAGTTTTGTGCATTAAAAAAAATCCTTCATTATATCTGTTACACACATTAGGCATGAACACACAAACATTGCATGTCCATTTGATGAGGATCTTATTAAAGAATGATCTAATTACATATTCATAGGGAGAGGATTCTACAACTCAGTTGACAGGGCATAAGATTACTTGTTTTTGGTTTTTGTTTTGTTTAATTTTATTTTTATATTATCATTCTGTGGGGGAATAGGAATTACTTTAGGATTAGAATTCACTTGATGATAACAACCTATTGAGCCTACTGGCACAATCTGAACACGTTCTATGGGCCTGATAGCCACTAATAACGACCATTTATTGGGATGACAACATCTGAAGCATGGCTGCAAACAGCCACTTAGTATTTACTGTGTAAAAGAAGACTGAATCAACATGAGGAGGGACGCATGAGATGATCCACAGTTTCTATAGTTGTTCTATATATTAGAACGTTTTTAGACTTCATTTTCACCTGCTGCCAGAAGATTTCACCTAAATAGATACATTGATCTACTACCATTAAAGAAATAATACCATATTATTCAAGAAATACCCTAATCCTTGCTGTCACAACTTACTATGGCAAGGTGTTTTGATATGTACTAGTTTTCCTGATATTTCCTGATATATTTTCCTGATAATATGTATTCCTGATATCTGAAAAAAAAAAAAAAAATTTGTTTAAATTACCATTTGAAAGAAAATATAATTCTCCACATCTAGAATAAACATTCTGCATGTCTAGAAATTAATTTCAGATCTCCAGATTCCTAATATTACTGGTCAGCATTTGGATTATTTTGTCTATAAGGAAATATATTTAAGATATCAAAAGTACATATTAGGTCAAGCTGATTAATTTCAAAACGGCCACTGAAAATGTATAAACATTTCTAGATATATAAAAACTTAATTCTTACCAATATAATTTTTTTTTTTACTTTCTAAAATGTTGTCTCTTTTAAAAAAATTAATTTCCAAAATATATTACAATAGTTCAGTCCAGGAGTGAGATTTTTATCAGGAAGAATCTTATTTTAGTGATCTATAAATAGAACAACAGAGAGGAGAGTGTTTTTAATAAATGTAAAAATGGCTTGCCAAAGCCACTTCATGTAAACCTACACATTAACTCAAGCAACAATCTTCTCCTTCGCCATCTTCCTCTCCTTTGCAATTTTAGTGCAGTTTCTCAGTCTTTTGAACAAATTGTCCTTTTTTTTTTCATTTCTCCATTAAAATTTCCAGTTTAAGTGGGGTGAAATAGACACTTCCTGTTGCTTGTTGTCATGGTGACTTGTCGAATCGGTGCTCCATTGATAATACCTTTTATACTTGTTGCGCACATGCTAAACTCCGAGGGGTTCTCCTTGGAATTGATCGAACTAATTCATAGCAGCCATTGTGAAACCAAAAACTCAGAGTTCCCGACTTTAGGCTAGATCAATTTAGAGTTTATTTATAAAGCATTCAGTTTAAGCATTCAGAAATTTTGTTCAAACTAATTATTTTAGGGAAAAACTATTTTCCTTTCACCTTGGCTCATTTTTGAAGTATTTTCATTATGTCTTTGTTTGCCACATTGTTTTAATAATCAATCAGTGTCTGTTTTTCTAAGCGTAACGATGTGAAGGAAGTGACATTTGTCAATTGTGTTTTTTACAGGACCATCTCCAATACGGGCCTGAGAATTTTTCCGGACCTTTCCAAGATCCAGTCTGCAGCCCCACGTTTTATTTTGTAGGTGTTAGAGCACTGACCCGCTACAGTGTGCTCGCTAAAAACACCCACACACCATCATTCCCACATGGATCTGAGTTTATAGGCACATTGAATTAAAACACATGGCCTGAGGACATCACATACAAATAACAACAACTCTGAAAAAGAGACAGGCAGATTTATACTTACAGATCAGCTTATGCTCACATTTATTTGGTTTTTCAACATGTCTTTCGCCCTTCTTGTTACATAGTGACCTTCAGGACAACATCAACATAGAAAGCGTCCCTGCCAATGCCTTCAGAGGCCTCTGCACTAAACCAATTGTGGAAATGTAAGACATACATCCTTTTTTTCTTCTCCTACTGGTCCTGATTTTTTCTTTTTGGGGGGCGGGGGGGGGGGGGGGGGGGGGGGGGTTGCATATGAGTAACCTCTAGGGACTTCGCATCACTGCACTGCACATATTAAGCACTAGCAAAACGGGAGCAAACTGCACTTGAAGTGTCTTTTTATAGATGAAACTAAACAGCAAGGATACTTTTACAAGCAAAAGGCATCTCTATGTGCTGACAAAAGTAAATTAGGAGTTACTTGTGCATTTAGGGAATCAATATCTTTGTACAGGGCCACTGGAAGTAATTTTGAACGGGGGGGCTGTGAAGCCTTTTCTTGTTTTGTTTTTTTTTTTTCAGACAAAAGACCAATGAGCCTATCAGCTTATTTAGAATAAAATAAATAAATAAATTGAGATTCACTACTTGATTGTCATATCCACTTCAGTGCATGCAACAAGGGTGTGTAACACACAGACATCATCAATTCTCAGGTAAATATATGCGCTATTAATTAAACTTCACGATAAAATTATAACTTGAACCTGAGTCACTGTGTTAATCTCACACATGATTCTATTAGCTCCAAAATCCTTTTACGCAAACCACAAAGAAATAAATATAATATAATACTATGTAAATGTTACCCAAAGAACACAAGATAAAAATAACACTCTCTAAAATAAAAATAATGCAGCAGTTTCTGGTATCTGCTTAATCGAATTTATTCACTTTAAAGGTATAGAGGGCAACGTTTTATTGGTGGATCAGCTAAATAAGTGGTCCTCCTAATTGTCAATAATTCTGGTGATATATTTACGTAAGGCCATTCTAGGTGCTAACACCGTTAGCTGTCTTTTTCTGTGCATGCGCACTTTCAGCCGCATATGTGTCGTGAGCTACAGTTTCAGACAGTCATTGAAGCTCACCTTTCTCACTGCGGTTCTTTAAAAATGGCAGAGGGTAATTAGAGAAAAGGTGTCTACAAAGTGTTTGAGGGGAAAAAAAAAAAAAGGCCTCAGCGGAGGCAGATATATCCTAGAATGCTTTGCACGGAGCATTATAAAATCCCAAAATCACAGTGTGAGGCTGCTGTCAACATATTTCAGACTGCAGGAGAACTGCTCAGTCGAGCTAATGTCAGTTGTACTGTCAGCTGTAAGGCCATAAAATAAAAATGTGATGAGCAGGCAGCAATTTCCCTCTGCATAGCATGAGCAAACTTTTCAATTATTTAATTTTGTATTGTGCCTGACGTCCAGTTGTCTCTTCCTTCTATCCACTTTCTTTCTTCAGGGAAATCATAGGTGTGCTCCAGGATTAAATCATGTATTCCTTCCAGTGTTGTGTCGCCCCTGAAGGCAATTCCCTTGCTGCCAAAGAATCTGATGGTCCTGAAGAGAAGCTCTAAACAGTGTCGGGCATTAGCCTGCTTTCTGGCATGAGCGCTGGATTATTGAGCATCTTTGGGGACGTCATTCAAAGCAGCCAACTTTTGTATTGACTCGATGTGCAACTCTGAACTCTCATGCTTGTAAAATTTTTCCGTTGCTTTACGTCAAATTGAAAACCAAGCCGAAGGGGTTGTCTTTCTTAAATTTTTCTATATTAATGGGTTTTTTTTTTTAAACTGCTTTCAGACAAATGAAACACAAAATGTGATCTTGCTCTTCCACATAATGCACTGCCATCTAGCAAACCTAGCCGGTGCCACAGAACGCGAGAACGTTTCCTTACTACAATGCCGTGCAAGAAATTTGAAACAGGGGGATGTTAGCTGGAAGTGCTTGTCTAATCCAATCACACTAGCTTGGGTTGCAGGTGCTGAGTCTGCTGGTGCAACTGCCATCAGGGGCGGCTGAACAGTCTCCTCACTCCGGCTGCTCTCCATTTTAATGATTTCAGTACCGGCGGTTTTCTTCATTGGTTGGGGTTTTGCAAAAAAAAAATACAAGATGTGTTTCTACCCCATGTTTCCTCCTCATCGTTTCTGTCGTTACACTATGTAAACTTACTAGTGTGCTGCCGCGAGTGGGATGTTTCTGTCCTCGCGATCACTAGTTCGCTAGACGGTTATCATGACAACAAAACTGCCACGAACTTGTGTTGATTAGGCCTCAAAAGGGTTATATTAAAAAAAAAAGCTAATACTAAAAGTCTAAATCATTTCCCAAAATATTCATAAGAAATTTATAAAATGTGCAAAGTATTTTTGATACATTTTTTTTAACTCACCCTCTCACCACTGGGGGTGTTGTAGCACCCCCAAGGACCCCCACTTCCCACGGCCATGTCTTTGTATAATTATGACACTGACAAACAAGGAAATACGGTGTCAGAACCTCAAATACTTGTGCTGCTTGTGCAATAGAGTAATATAATTTGTCTACTAAAACAGGTGGTAGTTTTGTTTGAGAAGAAGCAGCTGCACTTGGTAGGTTTTCATGATAAGGTTTGGAATTTCCAAAAACGAGTGCTTTTACTCTCACTTTGCTCATTAAAAGAGTAAAATATTTCATTATTATTCAAACATCTATTACCTGTACATATTAACTTTGACCTGACCCTTCTAACGCATAAATATGTTTTACCTTAAGTTATCTTATTTTAGCCTTTCCAGCTTCCTTGATCCCTGCTGATAAAAACAAAAAACAAAGAAAAAACCTACAGCTTGATGCTGGCAGCACAGTGCATCACCATGGGGATGGCTGGTTTATGCTGGTATGAATTTATTTATTTCTTGGACTTTCTCATCTTATTCCCACTTTATTATGAAGGACTGATATGTGAAGTGTATGACTATTAGACCTAATTTTCACTGCAGGCAAGAGTGGTCCAAGTTATCAGGTTAGGATGTTTAGAGTGAGTGGGAACGCCCAGAGTTAGTGGGAGCGCTCCGATCTAGCCCATGTCTGACTTTTTCAAGTCACATTCAAGCCACATTCTTATGTGGTCTCAATCAAACTTGTATTTTTTAGGATGTGGCCAATAGGAACGTCTAAGGCTGATTAGATGTGACCTTGACGTAATTTTCTTATCCCATTCTTCACAACTTTGCACCCCTCAGCAGGACACTGTAGCAGTTGGAAAACAGACAGGAGCTGAGATAGAACTGCACGAGAGAGCCAGCGAAATTCAAAAGCTTGATAAAAAGCAGAAATAAAACTTTTAGATTTAGGACGTAGTTGCTTCATAGAATGCGTATTCAACCCTTCAGACACAGGACTTTAAAACTTAGGAATTGAGGAGAGAGGTGATGGCATATATCATTTTAGTTGCCCTCGCCATGAGCCCAAAAATTTGTCAGTTATAGGTAACATTTTAAAGGTAATTGGAACAACCCCTCAAAAAGAAATCGGATTCCTGCACATAAATCGGATTTGAGCATTAAAACCCACTGTAGGAACATAGCTTTAGAAAATATTAGAAACTCCAATCTGACCTGTGGATCTCTGCAGTTTCTCCATAGATAGCATCTTCCCCACTGGAAATCATTCAAAACGGACAGAAAGAATGCTGATCTCTCCCATTTGGTCAAAAGATGGATTTTGTTTAGTTTATTTGCATATAAATTGATCTTGCTACATTTTGGAATTTCTTAGTCTATTTTTGCAATTCAATGTCTTGTGATTTTACTCCATGCTTTAGTGTTGAGTTTATTAGTTTAGTCTTATGTTTTGTCACTTGTTATTTTTAGGCCCGAGCAGCAAAGCTAATCCTGTGATTAAACTGTAAATTTGCCTAAAGTTTTATTATTCAAACCTCTGCTTTGCCAAAGCCACTCTCTGAATCTGGGGTCTTCACATGACGCAAACCAAAAAGGACTTTTTTGTTTTGGCTAAGGTTAAAAAAGGTCAATTAAACCAATCTCCCTGTGTTAAATCCAGCCTTTTTAAATGACTTCACTAAATCTCTATTGAAATTCAATGTTTGAGTAGTTTCTTCTTTCTTAGTTAGACCAAGACAGGCTTGCAGTTGTGCCATAGTTTTTAAGAATTGGTTAATAGAGACAGGCCAAAAAGATATTTTACTGAAGTAACTGACTAAAGCAGATGTACACTCTTACAAATAAGTTTTTAGAATTAAACAAATGACATCTATCATTCTTTGCCTCCAAATAGCCCAAGGATATCAGTTGGACCTCAGTGAGCCTCTGTAGCTGCATATATGGGCAATAAACAAACTATTAGTCAATTAGTTGTTTCTGTAAAGGCCTAAATAGTTAGAAACACTCAGTAATAGCAAAGGACGTATCTGTAATTCAGTTGGAAGTAAAGCAGTTTTCAAAAAGCTTCAAAACTCTTCTGATATTTCTATGAAAAAGGATTGATTATCTGAAAAAGGCAACCTAATATAAATTAAGATAACCAAAGGGCCACAAAATGACAACCAAGGCCAGAGAAGAACGACCCTTTAGTAATCAGAATGGTTATGAAGTATTATATAAGTCATAAGTATAAATGTTGGAGGTGGATGCACAAAAATAACCACAAATTATTATAAGTATGTGTTTGCTTTGAGCTTCTTTCGCTTTGCTCTTCAGTAGGATGAGTGGGGAGCCTTTACAGTGCTCGTCTGTGCCGATGGGACCCAGGTTTCATAATATCGCCAATGATTTTATCATCCCTTCTGTTTAACAGAAAAAAAAGACAAGAAGAGGAAAGAGCAGCTGACAAAGGCAGTAGCCATTCACTTGCTGTTTAGCTGAAGATCTGTAGCTGCACAGATTTAGCTTGTGGGAACAAAGGAAGTGCAAACAGCAAGTTTGGCATCAGCGGCTCAGATAATTTTCACTGCTGGTACTGTTTAGCATTAGAGCCATGTGACTGAGATTTGGCTTCTCTTTCTGATGACAGACGGCTCACCAGAAATGGCATCAAGAAGGTGGCAAGTGACGCTTTCAATGGAACAAAGATGTACCGATTGTGAGTCACAGAGAGACGCACAGTCACTAAAATGAAATTTTAACGTTCAGATTTTATTTCCTTATTTCTTACTCCTTTTTTTAAGGCTTCTCAGAGGAAACAAGCAGCTTGCTCACATCAGCCCCAACGCCTTTGTGGGTTCCCATGGGTTGGTGGTGCTGTAAGCATGACATTCTCTCGTATCTTTTACAATTCACCTTTTTAACTCAAAGCAGGCAACAGTCTGACATGCATGGGGATGACTCTGATATTCCATTTTAAACAGAAAATCTGGATGAAAGTTAGAACTGGGAGTTAAAAAAAACGGTTCTGAAGACAGTGAATTTCAATAACAGAGATTTTCCCATTTCCAAAGAAAAGAGACATCCTCTAGTATCCAACGTGTCAAACAAACAGGAGCTGCTTGTCATGTTAAAAGCTGTTTGGATAATTATTTCTGCACCATTTCTCCAAAATCCTTTTAATTAAGCATACAGTACTCATACTCATCGTCTCCTGCTTCATCTGGAAACAGGTCAGGGGGGCAGCAGTCTCAGTAGAGACTCCTAAACTTCCCTCTCTGCACACATCTCCTCTAGTTCTGCTGGAGGAAGCCCGATATGCTCCCAGGGCAGTTGGGAGACATAGTCCCTTCAGTGTGTCCTAGGTTGTCCTCTGGGTCTCCCTCCGGTAGGATAAGCCTGAAACACCTCAGCTGACTCCTTTCGATGTGGAGGAGATGCAGCTCCACTCCAAGCCCCTCCCAAATGACAAAGCTCCTCACCCATTCTCTAAGGGTGAGCCCAACCACCCTGCAGAGAATGCTCACTTCATCTGCTTGTATCCGCTATCCGGATTTCATGACCATAGATGAGGGTCTGAGCATATACTGACCAGTAAATCATGAGCTTTGGGTTTTTGCTCAGTTGTCTTTTCACCACAACAGACAGCATTCACATCATAGCAGCAGTCAAACTGTCTATCGATCTCCTGTTCCGTTCTCCCCTCACTTGTGATCAGGACCCTAGGATACCTAAACTCCTCCACTTGAGGCAGGAATCTTCCTCAAACCTGAAGGTGACGAGCCACATTTTTCTGGTTGAGAACCATGCCCTCGGACTTATAGGCGCTGATTCTCACCCCCGCCGATTCACAATCGGCTGCAAATTGCTCCAGTACATACTGTAAATCTTGGCAGGAGGAAGCCAGCAGAACCATCTGCAAAAAAAAAACACTCTGCTTCTGCCATGGTATGACCATCAGCCGGACTCTCAAGTGTCCAAGACATGCAGGTGAAGGTCAAAAGATCTATGATCAACCTCCTAGGACGATTGGTGTCCTGGAGCCAGGTTCACCAATGCTTAAACACGTTGTTCATTATGGACAATCTGTGACTTGCACAGGAGTCCAATATTGAAATACCACTCGGATTCAGAGTTGGGGGTCGGTTCCTCCTGATCATGTCCCTCCAGGTGTCATTGTCATTTCCAAAATGGGAGTTAAAATCCTAAGAATATTCATATATTTTCCCACTGGTTGAGCTCTATTCTTATTGATTAGCTTCTCTCCTTCAGCTTCCCTGCTTTCCTTCTGCTGTAGCTGTTCCATGTCCTCTGAAAAGCGCATTTGGTTTCTCTGTCATCTTACAGTGCACTCATACCAAACACAATGCTAAAAAATCCTCAAGAAATTGACAATATGACAAGAATATTTTAAAATGCATTTAAAATGAGCATGAGTGTTGAAAAACATTCAAATGGGAACTAGATGTATAATGATATACTGTTTTAAAATCACTATTTAAGTTCTGGGTTCATCAGTTGGAGTTGCATAAAACCTGAGGAAAGTACCCAGGGATTTTAAGAGAAAAAAGCTAGTAAATTCTTGTAATGCCTCTGCAATGTCATGTAAAAGGTTCCGGTTAAGTTCCATGGAGTCTGGGCTAAATTATGTTTCATTACAAAATGATTTTTTAAATGTCATACTCAAAAACTAGGACAACACACCAAACATACTGTAGGAGAAGCACCTAGAATTACAGAGGCCAGAGTATTACCTGAAACCAGCCAGAAAGCCCACAGTTCTGAAATAAAAGTTTTTTTTATGAAGAGCTATAAATGACTAATATGAGTTTGTGAGTGTATATTTTTCAGGGTTTGTTCATAATTTATTTAAAAAGAATTGCCAAATTATTGTTCAGATTAATTTCATGCTCCTGGCTCTGCCTCTACAGAGACATCTCTCAGACATCTGTCAGCTCTCTGCCAGACTCCATCCTCAGTGGTCTGAAGAAGCTGCTTGCAGAATCTGCTTATCACCTGAAAGAGCTTCCTATTGTGCAGCGATATACAAAACTCCAAATAGCCAAACTGACATACCCTTCACACTGCTGCGCCTTCAAGAACGTACACAGTAACAGGTAGAAATCCTATAAAAATATCATTAATTCAACAGGTACTGCACTGTTTTATTGTTGATGTTTTTTTTTACTTGTTTGTATCAAATGATAGATCTCAGTGGATCTCTCTGTGTAATCACCCTGATGCAAAAACTATGCCAGCCTTCTACAGAGAGTACTGTTCCAACTCCACCTCCGTCTCCTGCAGCCCGACACCTGACAAGTTTAATCCGTGCGAGGACATTATGTCCCCCATCCCCCTACGGATCCTCATCTGGATCATCTCTGTTCTTGCTCTGCTTGGCAACGCAGTGGTTCTTTTGGTTTTGTTAGGTAAAGCTCAGATGCACTTAGTGAGAAACTACTTTAAAGTTGTTCTGCAGCTGCGGTTTTCTAATTCATTAATGTGATTCAGTTCTTGGTTTGAAATAGAAACTTGTTTTTTCTCTTTTATTTTGTAAAATTAATGTTTTTAATACTGATTATCATTTAGGATGTATATAGCAGTGTTAATATTCACTATAAGACATTCACCAATATGAGTAATGATTGTTTTTTTTTAAGTCTAACGTCTATTTGCATTGATCTAAAAAAAAAAAAAAAAAAGCATGAATGTGTTGCAGCCATCTTTCCGCTAGCTAACTGATTGCTTTGGTATATGGGGTATATGGGTAGTCATCCACGTTTTGCATGGCTAAAGGTAGCACCAAGGTACTCTTGCTAAAAGCTGAGTAGATATCCCCCTCCAATAATTTTAGACAACCTCTCAGAAAAGCTTTCCTGCAGCATGATTCTACCATCACCATGTGTCACCATGCAGATTGTTAGTACAGGATGATACCTCCCAAAACCAATCAACATGTAGAAACTTCCTCTTTGTAGACCTACGACAGAAATTAGGACATTACAAATATTTCAATCTTAAAATGAAATGCTTAGAGCATTTATAAACTACAAGTTGAGATGGCAAAACCCTGCACAGCTGTACTTTTTTAAACATAAAGCTGACAGTACAGAACAAGAGCAGCTCTTTTGTGCTATTCAGCACTATCTACATCAGGCATCCCCACAGTCGGTCCTCAAGGGCCGCTGTCCTGCAGGTTTTAGCGGTTTCCCTGCTTTAGCACAGCTGATTATGGTGATTGCAGTTGAGTAAAAACCTTTTTAATGAGCTTTCATTTAAAATCAGCTGTGCTAGAGCAAGGAAACTTCTAAAACCTGCAGGACAGCAGCCCTAGAGGACCGACTTTAGGGATGCCTGATCTACATACTCTGCATTAAAAGCCTTTCAACAATGCTTTCAAAGAAACAATGTGAGGCAAACCTATTGTTCACTCCAGATTATATTTTCTTTACCTAAGCTTCTTACTATACTGGTTGGATTTTTTTCTTAGAGGGCTGTTTATACCTTTTATATCCCAGGGTTGGATGGTCACGTAACAAGCTGTAAAGCTGTTATTAACTTGCTTTGTAGCTGTTTCAAATCTTTAATTCTCACTTAAGCCCTTTTGTTTTCCCTCTGCCCTGTAATTAGGGAGCCGCTCCAAGCTGACTGTTCCTCGTTTTCTCATGTGCCACTTGGCATTCGCTGACCTCTGCATGGGTATCTACCTGATAGTGATTGCCACTGTTGACATGCTAACTCATGGACGCTACTACAACCATGCCATTGATTGGCAGACGGGTTTCGGCTGCAAAGTGGCAGGATTTTTCACGGTGTGTGTGTATTTTGTTGCTGGCATATGTACATTAATGTCATTGCTCATCACTGTCTGTGAATAGTAAATTACTTTGGTTTACAGGTGTTTGCCAGCGAGCTGTCAGTGTTCACGCTAACGGCCATCACTGTGGAGCGCTGGCACACCATCACAAACGCCATGCGGCTCGACCGCAAACTTCGTCTCAGGCACGCCTGCATCATCATGACAGCTGGATGGAGCTTCTCTCTGCTGGCTGCATTGCTACCCACATTTGGTGTAAGCAGCTACAGCAAAGTAGGTAGCTTATTGTTCAACACATGTTACATTAAGATCCTTCTCAAATGCAAGAGCTCGGCATAAAAGGGCTGGATTATTGTCACATTTTATGACATTACAGCCACAAACTTCAAAGTATTGTATACAGTTGAAACTAACGAATAGGACAGGTGTAGAAATTTTTAAAAAGCTTTCCAACAAAAACGTATATTCCAACAACCCACAAGAAATTAGTTTGTGTTTTGCAAATAGGGCCAAAAAGTACAATTTCACTCTTATCTCAAAAGATAATCTTCCTTAACTTGTATGTTAGTCCTCAACTTCACTCATTGCAAAGTGATAATGAGACTACTTATTTGTCTGCTCCTTTCCATAAAAGTCGACCTCAGCAGATTCTCTCAACTTAGCTGTGAATCTCTGTAGCTCCTCCAGAGATGTCGTGTACCACTTGACTCTAAATAACCTTGTTTGACATAAGTTAGAGAATTAAGTGCATTTTAGAATTTTGCTATCAATATTTGAACAGTTTTTTATCTGTACAGGTGTGTATCTGCTTGCCAATGGATGTGGAGTCTGTTGCATCCCAGGTCTACGTTGTTTCTCTACTCATTCTCAACATCCTGGCCTTTTTCTGTGTTTGTGGCTGTTACCTGAGCATCTACTTGACCTACCGGAAGCCTTCATCAGCACCTGCTCATGCAGACACCCGAGTGGCTCAACGCATGGCCGTCCTCATCTTTACTGATTTTGTCTGCATGGCGCCCATCTCCTTCTTTGCCATCTCCGCTGCCCTCAAGCTTCCTCTCATCACCATCTCAGATGCCAAAATCCTCCTGGTCCTTTTCTACCCCATCAACTCCTGCGCAAACCCCTTCCTCTATGCGTTCTTCACCCATACCTTCAGACAGGACTTTTTCCTCCTTGCAGCTCGCTTTGGCCTGTTTAAAACTCAAGCCCAGATTTACAGGACAGAGACGTCTTCCTGTCAGCAGCCGACATGGACCTCTCCAAAGAACAGCCGTGTCATGTATTCCCTGGCGAATACACTAAGTGTGGATGGGAGACAGGATTTCTGATAGTCGCCAAAATAATAATGGTTACAGACTTTCAATTAATGATCATTTCTTTCACTTGCTGTGGTAAAAAACCCTTGGATGGAAAGATTTTAAAAGCAATTAGTCACTTTATTGTAGAAGAAGGCACCAGTGTTAGAAAAGTTAAGCAGTTCAATTGATCATTAAGCAATGTAGATATCCTTTAACAAGTGGGGGAAAAAACATGAGTTGATCTAATCAGATGCTTTGGTCACTAGTCACAAACCTTTCTTTAATTTACCATAAACAAACATTAAAAAAAAGTCAGCCTTGGTTTGTATATTTGATCAACTCATTAGACAAAAACACCTGAGAAGGTAATTAGATCCTTATTACTACAGAAATGAACAACATCCAAGTTGGTTATTAGGTGTAGAAACTGTGCATATTAACTTCTGATGTCTTTCAGTTTTTCTGTCAGAAAACATTGTTTAAATGCATGCAAAAAAAAATTCACTGTGGTTCAGCAGTTAGTAAATAAATGTATTTCACGGATAGACGTAGTCATTAGAAAAATAGTATGCCAAAATTGCAAACTTACAGAAAATAGGGCAGGGTAGGAAGAGCATTATTTAGAGAAGCATCTAAAAGGTCCATGGTGTCTCTGGAGGTGCTGCACAGAACCCCAGCTTTTATGGTGCTTTTATGTGTTTTTTATTACTAAAATCTTGCAAAATGTTTAAAACATGTTTCTTCTTGATATTCTTCCTGGTTTTCTGACTTGAATGCAGAACATGATTAAGTTGGCCTTGATGTTTGTTTGCCAGATCAGCATTCAGCTCTATAAAATTCTACAAGTAATACAATTAATAATACGATTAACCATTAGATTTTGGACCAAGGTCCAGATTCCTGCTCAGACTAAATTCTGCAATAAATTTGTCTCTAAACTCAGAGCTGTGAGGTAAAAATTATGTTTTATCTGATAAAAGTGCTGGCTGGGTGAATGTAAAGAAACAAAAAAAAACAAGGACATGCTAACTGTTGTTGTGGTAACTGATGTTTTGGAGTAAAAGACGAGTACAAACATATTTCTTCCCATTTTGTGGTCTAATACTACAGAAAGATGTTCACGAATATATGTTAGTATGTTTTTTTTTTTGTGATTTAATAAGATACAAACTGTCAAAAATTCCAACAAATAGTTAATTCCTGGAATTTCTACTATGTTTTCTATCCATGGAGGCCATGCTGGGTGCAAAGCTAGGGTTTTGTTGATGAACTTCTGTTTTTTTCAGCTTAAACTGAATTTTTTTTAAATGAAAACCATGTTTGCATGGATTGCTTCATTATGAGTCAATGCAAGCACAGAATAACTGCAGATAATTTGTGCTTCAATCTGGATCATAAAAACTGTCCCATAAACAGTTGTTTTTATTATGGCTAGATAACAGCAACTGATGGGAGATTTTTCCCAGCAACAAAACTGTTTAAGAGTAAAAGTAACCTTATGACTTCATTTTTCGTATTGTCTTTCTATATGACAAGATGTGCTGCAAACTGAGATACTTTAAAATACATTGGACTGTCGTTTTACACATGGGATGACTACATAAAGAATTTAACATCTGTTCAATGTTTAATGTTATGAGTGAGGGATATGTATTAAAAAGAACACTGCAGGGACCTGCTGATTAATAATCTGCTCATACACAGTGTCTGCTGTAGCTCTTCACACCTTCAAACCCTCCTCAACTCATGAGAGTCTATCCTGCTCAAAATGAAGGTCATGCTATCATCTTGAGATGTAATAATGTAACCTTTTTATACAAAAAAATTTTTGTTTTTTTCACAATGTTTGATAAAATTGTTCATGCAGGTTTCTAACTGAGCATTTTCTATGAAATATATTTTCTGAAACACACCCCTGTGTCCCGCTTTAGTGTTATCATTATTTTGCAATGATGTCCTTCAGATCAACCAAAGCTTTCAAGGACAAAGTGACCCAAGCAACCTCCACTCTAAAAATGGGTGGGTGGGTGTGTGTAGGAGGAAAGACAGCTGCGTTTTCTGCTTTTTACAGGTGGATGAAAACGGCAGCAAGATAAAGCCTGCGCAAACACCAGAGAGAAACCCTGAGTTTCAAGGCTGCAGCTGCAGCAAAGAATCTGCCTGCCTCTCATTGAATATGGATGCACTGCCTCCTACATGTTAAACATGTTCACACACTTTACTTCCATTTATTGTGCTAGGTCCAGATTTAATCAGCCCATTTAGGGGGTTCGCTCCGGGAATGTAAGATTGTAGCACAAATGTAGCACCATGAAATACCCACATACAATAATAAAAATATGTACACACATAGTATGCATGTCTCCATACATAGTATTGTTTTGGAAATGATTACGTTTTTTTTGCATGGGCAACAAATTCACATCCTGAAAAGGGCTAAGAAATAGATCAAGGGTAATTAAACATTTCAATCTATAGAATAATTCATAAAAAGGTACATGAAGCTATCAAAGGAAATGTTATATTGTAAAATGAAAAACGTATTCAGAATAATCACAATATTTACAGAAATAGTTCTTTCGAAATAAAAAGCAGGTTATTGTACCCTCAAACCAAGCATAACTGTACATGCCTAACCTCATAAATACAGAACAGTTCAACTCTGTCTGGCATAGAGTGCAGATACTATTGTAGCTAAAAAGCTCCCCCTAGTGTTCGTACAAGGTATTACAAATACTCTTGTATTTTGATGTTATGTTTAAAACATTTCTCAGAGCTTTTGCCTCATGTTTATCTAACAACATTACATAGTAAATGAGGATTCTTTTTTTTGTTGAGAATCTATTACACAAATCTTCTGTTCATTCCTCTCTCAATTTTGATCTATTAGATTGAGGTCTGGTCACTAGATAGGCAGTTAAAGCTCATCAAACTCATTGTCATTTCTGAGAAACAAGCTTGAGATGATTTCAGCTTTGCAACATGGTGCATAAATCCAGATAACCCAGCAAAGACAAGCAGGTATAGGCAATAAATTCATTGAAAAGATGCAGATCTGAAGATCATAATGATCAAGAAGAAGGCTGAGGCACAAAACAGAGATGATATTGTGATAGTTTATTTTGAGAACTAGATGTTAGGGATTTATTGGACTAATAAAGAAATGTGGAGCAAGAGCCTGAGCTGTCATGATATTGGTGCTGATGTCTGGCCTGATAACTCATTTCATTCACCTGCCTATCTCCACCCAGCTCTCATTATCAATCATCTGATCGACCTGCTTCAGGCTATATTTAACCAGCCTTCAGACCAGTCATCACTGCCAGATTATTTGAGTCTTTGGTAACAGTTCTCTAGCATTTCTTAGTGTTTCTGATTACTTGTTCCTGACCCATTCTACCTCTGGACCTCTGAGCCTGCCTGTAGATGTTCTGATCTGTTTGCCTGACCTGTCTTCAGACTCCTGCTTGATTTCTGCCTGTCTGTGTACCGAACCTGGAACTGTTTCCAGACACTGTTCTGGATTTCCTTTCAGCACCTCTTCTGAGATCTGATCTCCTGGCTCTGACTCCCTAGCATGCCTTCAAGAAAAGCTTTGGCTCTGGATTGTCCTGCCTTTCTTTGTCTGCTTGGCTCTGATCTCCTGCTTGTCCTATGACCTACGAGAGACCAGCGCCTGGGACTCTCTGGGTGGCACCCGCAATGTTTCGTTGACAACCTACTGGCCAGAACCAGCCTCATCCTCTGGGCTCGGACTGAGCTTTAAGACCACGTTAGGGCTCACACATTAATTATCCCCGTCCGCCAGATATACAAGGTCACTAAACTGTTGTCTTCTCCTGCAGAGGTTCCTGCCTTAGACCATGATGCTGCGCTTTGCAGTTCTGTTTCTAAGAAATGTTTTGTTAAATCTATCTGTCTTTCCGCCTCAAACACTAGTTCCTTTTGTTCTGAGCCTAAACCTAAATACATTAAATTACAAATGTTCAATGGACCTGTTAGGGATACATTATTGAGTCATCTTCAAAATGATTGCAGTATATTGCCACTTTAGGTTTTGTTACTTTATCTGAAGTAAAATAAACTAGTAGTTAAAACAATATTTTTATTTTTTTGGTGCTCCAGTTTAATCTCTGAGACAACCTTTACCCCCTTCTCTGAAACTTTTGGTTAAACAGTAATTGACAAAGAATACACCATTGCAAAAAGAGCAGTAAAAAGGTCTCTGGGTTTAGGCAAAAATAACAGCTTTAGGCAAGACATTCAATGCAAGTCAGATATATTATGCTTTTTATGAAGCCATATGCTTTCTTTGAAAATAACTGTACAATTGAGCATCAAAAAGTCTTTTTTGGTGGTATGTAAATCCATGTGACTAATACATATGTTCAGATCTTAACATGTATGACCTTGAAACAGTTACTCAGTTTCTCAGTTACTCACTTTCTTTAGTAAAGCATGTTAATGGAAAGATGAGTTTTTGGAAAAATTGTGCTTAAGAAATGTGCAAAAGCATTTGGGATAAATGGGAAATCTATAGAGCAAAGCTAATTCAATAGATTTAAGGAGATTCAAAAGAGTCATGGCTTAATATGGAGGCATCCTGGTCTCCAAACCAGAGATGCCACTTATGCCAATTGGTTTAAGTATCCTATCTTTGGGGTTTTGTATAAAGGAAGAGACACACCAGACCCCATAATGTAGATAAACTAAAGCTCTAAAAACAACCTGAGCTTTTTGCACCTCTCAGTAGAGCCACAGTTGGGTCTCCTTTATGTCACTGATGAAGTAGTTAATGCAAATTATACTCTCAGTAATGAGTTTACGATAAATAGAACACAAAATACTACATTTCTGTCTTCTGTACCACTGAAGAGCGACAGTTTTATAAAAGGCAGTTGATTTTTATTAAATCAACATCAATGACAACACAGGATACAGAGATGATATACCAACCCAAAAGCCTCACTCCCACACTCATTCATATTCATTCACCCATTGTGTTCATCTATAAATTACATTTATAAAATAAACATTTGAGAAGTTCCCATCGGTTTTTATATTTTCTGGCTTCATTGGTTTCACCCATATAACTTTCTAAAATTAAATAATGCTGAATAAGTGTTTTAAAGAAATTAATACCAAGTGAAAATCTATTTTTGGCTTTAAAGATAAACCTTTTACCAAGTACAGTGATTAAATTAACTAAGTGGTGA